CCCCCCCGCCCCCCCTCTCTCTCTCTCTCTCTCTCTCTCTCTCCTGTCACGTGGTTCGATATTCAACATTAGATATTTATTACACAGAATTATAACTGTATAACGCGAATACTTATTTGGGTCGTGGTCGTGACATTGTTGTTCGTTTTGTTGTTCTTTCGTCCACTTACGGTAAGACGCGATCAAGACGAGGTAGATACGAGAAGACTTTATATACAGAGACAGGACTTGGCTAGACAAAGGTACACGGATGAGCATGTGAATAAGAGAGCGTGGAGAGTGTAGAGAGCGAGCGAGAAGCCGAGAAGCCGAGAAGCCAAGAAGCGGTTAAGGAGGATTGAGCTCAAAGGACTCCCGTGTCTTGTACTTGGTGGTATCACCGAAGAAAACAGTCGGTACTTTTGCTAAGCTAATGTGGCCTAAAAGCCACACAAAAAAAAACACAACACACAAGGATACAGAGACATTTTTACATACTAAGACGAAGATCCTCGCGTAAATGAACACATAATGGCCAATCGCTACCGACTAAGTCTCTTTAGAGCGATCCCAGGAAGATGTGTCAGGAGAGCCTGATGGGACGATTCTTTCATTTTATTAATCATTGATTATTCATTTATCGGGGACTCTCTGCTGCCTTTCCTCGTATTCGCTTTAAAGAGTTCAAAGGGATGCAACACGTCATTCTCTTCGTTTGGTCCTTCGCTTTCTTCCATGTTAAAGAAATAAGCATCGTCAAAAGGAAGGACCGCTATGTTCTAAACGTCATTTTTGTTTACTTAATAAATACTGTGTTCCATTAAACTTTTCATTTCAATGTCGTTTATCAAAAGATCAAGCAGCTAGCACTTGTTATCCGGCCAAATTTACCCATCTGTCATAATAACTAACTACTAGAAGCAGGCTCAAGAGTCGGAATCCGCGCTCGAATGCAGAACGTATAAGTGGAACATGGAGAGTAAATTAATTAAGGGAGGAGAGAAGGAAGGATCGCGCTCTCTCTCTCTCTCTCTCTCTCTCTCTCTCGAACGCTCTGCTAATCGACTCCAGTAACCTGCATCAGGATTACGTAAAGGACGAGGCTAGCTTTATGAACGTTTATGCAATCCTCTACTCATCTACGTTTCTTCTTCTTGGGCTTGCCCTTTTTTCCAGATGATGACGAACCATTACCATCGATGCCACCATTGGCAACGACCGTCTCGGCGTTGTCTCTCGTCGTAGAATTATCCTCCTCGAGAGTAGTATCCATGAGAGTAGCGTTCGCGTTAAGCTCTTCCGTAGAACTCGATTGCTCCGGCATCATTTCCGGTTCCGAGTCACTCCTCTTTCCCGCGCCTTGTTTCCCGACCTCTAGCTCTGCTGCCGATCTCTCCAATTCAGTTAACGATTCAATTTCACCGTCGGCAGTCCCTTCGGTTGAAATTCCGTCTGTTTTCAAAATGTTCGCCCTTTCATCCTCCTCCTCCTCATCCTCCTCATCCTCCTCCTCCTCCTCCTCCTCCTCCATCACCACCTCCACCTCCGCCTCCTCCTTCTCCTTCTCCTTCTCTGTATCCTCCACCGTTCCAATATTCTCCTTCGAGCGGGCTTTCCTCTTTTCCACGTAAATCGCAGAATCTACCTCAAAATTAGCCGTTTCGCGAGGCACGATCCTCTCTCTGCTGTCAACGGACAATTGATAATTCCTCGATTTCTTATGGCCTTTTAAGAATTTAATGTCCGAATAATTCACACCATTAGATTCGCTCACTGCTGCTGGTTTCAATTCTTCTGCTTTGTCTCTGTCCACCTTTTCGTAATTCTCCGTTGCCTGGCTCGTGTTGCCCGAGTGCTCGTGTTGCTCGTGTTGCTCGTGTTGCTCGCGTTGCTCCTGCCCCTCCTCCTCCCTCGCGGATATCTCAGAAGAACCCGTTGGAATTGCAGCTTGCTCCTTAGAAGTCACTGGACTTTTCTTCTTGACAACGGAACTCCAGGAACTTGCGATCGGCAGGGCCGTCCGCGGGTTCGTTAGGTGGCTCTCGGGGATGGTCTTCTCGAGAGGACGAGGAGCCGTCGTGTCGCACCGCGACTCTTCGAACGGGCTCAGCTTCGAATGGCCGGTTTCATTGGCAAGATCGGCATCGTTAAGGGGTTTTTTATTTTTCCGAAACTTTTTCGACTTTACCTCCAAGATCTTGCATCGAAGAACCGATTCCTCCTGTTGCATAGCGTCAATGTCAATTATCTCAATGCTTTCCGAAGATGTTTTCTGGATAGCCTTGGATTTCACTTTGGAATTTCGTGATGATTCCCATGCTCGCCTATCCGTGACTTTCTCCAATTTGACAGTAAGATCCTTCTTCTCCGGAGACCTGTTTCTGCTGTTCTTCGTAATATTTCTACACTTGCTGCTCCGACCCTCCGATGGTCTTACCAGAGTCACGTCTGGCTCGGAAAAGTCACTCTCCACGATAACAACGGCCTCTCGCCTCCTGGAGGAGGAGCTCCCAGACTTCTCCTCAAAGGAATCCCGAATATTATCAATCGATCCCAATTTCTCGAGACGCATGTCAGACATTACAGACTTACTAGTCGTTCCATTCTCAACATCAACTTCTGCAGTCGCTCTGTTTCCTTCTAAGACGTATCCAACTGCTGATTGCAGCTCCGAAACTTCTGAATGCAACACGTGTTCCATGTCATCGTCGGAGGACACGACGTTCCTACATGACCTTACAGGTTCCTCGGAGCTTCGCTCGACTTCGTGTCTCGTCGCTTTCGCTCCGAGAGCTGGCTCCAGCCTGCTCAGCTCCAACGAGTGAATGTGCTCCATGTCGTCGTCGGAAATGGTGCTCTTGCTGCCTTTTCTTTTCCAAGTTGGCCAGGACTCCAGTCTGTCCTCGGAACTTTCAAGACCCTTGCTACCCAATTCCGGAATCTGAGTAACTTCCGAACTGTCGATGTGTTCGATATCCTCATCGGAGTGATTCGAGGAAGTCACAGCAGTGTGCCTGTCGGGACAGCCCTGTCGCTCGACGATATCGTAATCGATCGAACTGAAGTCCTCGATTGGCAGTGCTTTCAAGTGCAGCTGCTCGGCATCGCTATTCTGTAAAGCCGAGCAAGGGCTCTCGATGCAACAGCCTTCGATCTCCGTAGGCTCGATTTCCTTCATTCTAATGGCACGCGTTCCGATCTCCTCCGCGCTTCCGATAGAATCTGTGCGAATGGCCTTCTTAGTCTCTCTCGATTTTGCCTTGTCCTTTGACCGTGTAGACTTATCCTTGCTAAAGGTTTCACGTGGTTTTCGAGGCACCAGTAAACCGGAAATAGAAATAGAATCGTGTTCCGCTTCCTGAGGATTCTCAGGCCCAGCACCTTTATTGTGCCCGCGAATTCTTTTCTTCCCACTGGCCGCTGCTGCTCTACGATCGACACGAGCATTGTCTCCGGAATGCTTCTTGTTCTCGAGCACGATACCATCGCGCTGTTCCGTATTGAGAAATCTGCTTCCTTCTTTGCCCTCGGCCCCAAAGGCCCCTTTAGAATCGTCACTGATTTCCAGTTCCGTTATCGATGCCTTTACGGCGCACTTACGAGTCTCTGACAAAGTGCTGTCCAGAATTTTCTCCTCCTGTTCCGATGACGCAGGCAATACTGCGCTTTTTTCGCATGTCGTTTTATTCTCCATAAGGACGACGCTTTCTTCGTCATAATTTACGAGATATTTGATTTTGCCGAAATTACTTTCATGGAGCTCAGCATCGCCTTTCGCTCGACGATTCCAAGCGGTCTCCTTGGCCCTGGTCATCGGACTGCTGGGAATCTCACCAGATTCCGCACATAAGCTAAGACTAGTGGGCACGTCTCGAAAGATCTCCACGCGATCGATATTAATCGCACTCCTGACATCGATTCTCGCTGCCTCGACAAAGAGGGCCTTGCGCTCCTTGACATCCTTGATACTGTCGTCGGGGACCGAGTCGAACGCGGGCTCGCTAGCCGATCGCATTTCCGCACAAATCTCTGTGAGATTTCGCAGGGCTTGGCCCTCGGGTTCGAAGTCACTTAGGGAGGCAGGACCTTCCTCGGCGCATAGACTCCTGGGCGGCTCCAGGGCGCTCTTCGCGTCAAACATCTCACTCGAACTGATCGCCTCCTCCTCCTCCTCATCATCCTCCTCCTCCTCCTCCTCCTCCTCCTCCTCAGCCGTTACAGTTATTACGGTGCCCAGAGGATTGACGACTTTAGTCACGGGCTGTCCCACCCTCTCAACTACCACTCGCCTCCCTAGTAACAGAAAAAGCCATGGGCAGGTATCAGTCGATTGCCGAACGCAGCGATCAAGGCGCCCGAGAATAAAGATCTGGCACCCTGAACTCACGTTAAGGACGTACTTGAAAATACGTGGCCGCAGCCACGTAAAGAGACAGTCAATTTATCGTACTGACTCTCGATATGCACGCAGAGTAGCGAGAGTAGCGAGAGTAGCGAGAATAGCGATCCAGTGCAGTTCCAATTAAATGACAACGCAACAAATCTGAGCGTATGCGCGAGGAGGCTTACGAGACACACGTAATGGACCGGAGCACACCGTCACCCTCGCACTTCTCTTCTTCGTGTTTATTCTCTCTCTCTCTCTCTCTCTCTCTCTCTCTCTCTCTCTCTCTCTCTCTCTCTCTCTCTCTCTCTCTCTCTCTCTGTCACTTTTATTCTACTTCGAAGCGCACATTACACACTCTGCTTTTTATTGTACACAAACGAGGTATTAGGCGTTACCATTAGGTGAGTGTCACGGAGATACCTGCCTCTGGCCAGTTCTGTATCTTCGAAAACTTATTGTTAGGAGACTAGCGTATAATCGCTTATGACAAGCAAAAAATGGTCTTGTGTATCTCTCTCTCTCTCTCTCTCTCTCTCTCTCTCTCTCTCTCTCTTTCTCTCTCTAAAGTATCATTAAGTGATGAGCATGTCAAGGTTCCCGTCGTTCGAATTAGACTTCGGCTTTCCTATGATGTACATGTTATATTGTGTTATTACGTTCCTAACCAATGCGAGAATGTTGCAGCCCTACGCTATTTTGATATCATGTTAGCCGATTCATATTCCGATTGGAAGCGAAAATTAAGATATAGTTAATCAATCGATCGACCAATAATGTATCGAACACACGGAGAGCGTCTTGCTATAAGTGAATTGTTACCTGGAACTCGATGAGGAGTTGCAGATGTCTCCAGCATAGCCTCCGCCAAGTGTTCCCGTAATTGGTTTTCACCACCTCCAACTCCCATTGTATCGTTATCCAGCGAATCGCCGTACGCCTCGAGAAACCTGGGAGACTGCTCGTAACTACTTCCCGATCCATCGATCACTACGGGAACAAGTGGTCTTGCAGCAGCATGGGGCATGTTCACTGGATTTGATCTTGCAGGACGAGAGCCTGCCGTAACACCAACCTCAACCGCTTCTGCCTCAGCCAAATTGACCGCAACCCTTGGACAAGATATCGATCGCAAGAGTTTCAAAGTCTTTCAATTATATCGAAGCGCATCGAATGATTATACTTACCCGCTTGGTGCGTTATACGTCTTAAAGACAAACTGTGGCCCCATCCAGAGCCTCCGATGAGGTCCCGCGTGCGTTACGATCTCCACTTGGCTAAGCCAACGATCCTCAGCCGTGTCGAAGGCTTGGCTGTTATTCGTGCAGCTGGATATTCCCAAGAAGGGGCTGGAGGGCGGTAAAGGTGGGATGACTTCCGAGGATCCCGGAGATCTCAGGAGAGGCCACTGTCCCTTTGCCTCCACCTCGAGTTCGATCATCGTGTCGTCGCAAATTTTCTCCTTCGGTACCCCGGCGGCTGGTTTTGGCTCCAAATCGTACTGTATCATATTTCCATGACAGGCCATCACGAATAACGAATCGACAGCTCTTTTCGTCATCTTGCTTGAAGAATCCCTTTGCGCATAAATCCACGCTCTTGGCGGTGCGAAGCAAGCGCAAATCTTCAAAGGCAAGCTTCCACCGTCATCTGAGTGTAGACGTTGTCTCTGCTGCGGTCTGCTGCACGTGTTAGGAAAGTCCCCAATTGAATCTCAATTATTCGAGAGTTTCTCTCAAACTATTTAAATTCCAGATACCTTGTTTGCGTTTGACTGTTGGGATGATTAAGCGTTGAGGGTTGTCGTATCTGCGCCAAGGGGTGCAATATCGTAGGATGCGGATATGGAGGAAGTCGAGGATTTGAATATGGATATACCGAAAGTGGTGGCTCAGTATGGGAGACCGGAGAATGGGATCTGGTGCCGTCGTCCGTCAGGCCGGCGCTTCTGTGAAATCTCGAGAGCCTATTCACGACGTGAGGCGTCGAATGCGTCCTGACACCGACTGGACCTCCGTACGGTGCGACAGGGAACACATGCGTAGTACCACGAACAGTGGAAACAGCTGCCCAACGCGCGTCATTCGAGAAGGTCATATCCTGAGGCACAGAAATAGTGTACAAGTCAAACGGCCGAACAGGAAACACAGTGGGGGACAAGTACCCACCTGCACCTTTGCGGTGGTATCACCTCTGTGTAGCACGTACAAATGATGAACGGCGGCCAACGTCGGTCCGCCAGGATGGGGCTGTATTCTAAAAACATGAAAATCGTGCCCTCTCTTATCCGCCGTCATTAAAAGCGCCCCCGTTTGGTCAAAATTCATTGCGACGATGGCATCATTGTGGGCTGTGAAATGCGCAACTACAGTTTCTATCGGTCCTTTATCCTCATGCCTATCATCTTTGGCTGCCTGTAAATCGAGGATTGTTACAACCCCGGGTTGAATGCAGTCACCACCAGCATTATTCGCGATCATCGGCGTCACTGAATTCCCCGTTAAACTGGACGCCACAGTCTCGCCAAGACCTCGTAATCCTTTGCCCAAGGATTTCGCAGCGTACAATACTGTTGCCGTGTAACTCTGCACACCCTCGCCTTCGCTCCCGCCGCTACTTCTTCGAGCCGGTAACAGCTTCTTCTCGCTGTAAGAGTACAAGCAGAATTTATAATTACAACAACCTGGACAGATCGTGTTGATTCATTTGAAAAGATATTTAAGAAGACGAGACCTATAAGCGAGCCATCTTGTACCCAGAGCCACGGGATTGGGATTCGGACCAGGACTGGGATAGCACGTGGTTACTGTGATGACGTCTTCAAGGTTTCCAGCGTCAAATACAGCAATTCTCTCGAGAAAGGTCACCACCACGGATCTTCTGTTGGCCAGAATGTCACAGACGGGATTCTTGAATTTTATGCTTTTGGTCTGCTCGCCAGTTCGAAGCGAGATAAAGCTCACGTTGCAGAATTGAGGTCCGGGACCGGCAGAGTCGCAAATTGCAACCATTGGCCGCTTTACGGCAAAGAGATCGGTGTGATCCTCATTATTTTTTGGATTTGGCAAAACGCGCAACGTACGAACAATTCCTTGACGCCATGATATGACTTCCGTGGCTTCGCCAGACGCAGCCACAAGCCACACCTATTATGCATTAACAAGGAATATCTTTGAAACTGCTCCAAGAAAAAGATTTCTCAAGACTTAACGTACTCGGCTATTATTAAAGATTTCTTTTCCCCATAACCTTGCATGTCATTTTGCAAATCTCCATAAATAACATTTTTTCTAATATTTTGAAATGACCAAATTTAAAATAAAAAGGTAGAGTACGTTAAAAACAAATTATTTTATATTTCATCAAATACATACCTGTACACCAGTTCCATAGCCCAGTACCAGTAGCAAAGGTGGAATTTCAGAACCCTCGTTGTAATCAGGATAAAGGGCAAAATCGTTTACATCGGCATATTCGAATCTAGCCCAGGCAATGGACTCTTCGTTATCGGTATTTGGTGTTCCAGTATAGGCCTGAGTAAAAGAGGCATGAAATATCATTATAAAGGAACGCATACAGCAATTTTCCTTGTTGCAAGAAAAAGCAGTGTAACAAGATTGGCAATAACATTGTTTAAAGCTTTTTTAAATAACATATAGGTTCTCGAAGCAGATAAGTTACTAACTTGGGGAACTATATCATTGATAATTCCAGCAACGCTGTCAATAATGGAGTGGTCACTAATAGGTTGCGGTGAGACTACTTGAGCCCCTTTGTGGACTCCACGTCTCGGTGATTCTGCAGACATTTCTCCTTTTTACAGGACGTCTTTCTTCCTGAAATATGAAAAAAAACATATATCAACAAATGTCAATAATGTTGCCTATACATATGCCTTGATTTGGGCATACACGCATCCCTAGTATGAGAATAAGTTAAGCTACAATTAAATGCATACGAAAAATGATTATTGGCTAAATCGTCTATTGACTATGTAATGGTAATTACGTAAAAGTCGTAAGCAAAAGACAGACGTAAACTAGGAACATATGTAGCAGTCGTAAATTGATTGCTGGTCATTCGCGCACCTCCGCTCATTTAGCAGAATCAGGAAGACCTCACGATACACCACAAGAGTCCGATAAACGCGTGAGCAGAGACAAATGAAAGAAAACGAAAGGAAAGGTAAAACGTGCTGACTGGAAAAGTGCATCGGGTCGTCGAACATTGACAAAGGCCAAGTCCGATAGTGTGAGAAACCCATTCTGCCTCCTGGTTGTGCTGCACCGTTGCACAATCTACAGTGTATGTGTGTGTCGCGCTTAGCCCAGCTGTTCGGGCCCACGAAATGACCGACGAACGTCTATAAATGTGAAAAAAAAAACTTTCTGAGCGTGAACTTAAGGGCGTTCGCCATGATGAATATTAATCAAAAATGTTACGCGGTTGCGTAAAAATATACGTAGGCGGAGAAGATTCGACAATGTCCTTATGATGCGACAGCAAAAAATAGATCTTGGACGTTGTGGCAAATCACAATAAACTTGAACAAAGGAAACACCTCCACGAGGGAGCCACTCCTCCGAATTGATTAGCTTTTATTTAAAGAATAAACGTAATGGAAAATGTTCATTGATCGAGAAAGTGCGTCGTTGAATAAATTGTGGACTTACTTTAATACCGAGTCGTATTCTGATCGTGCGAGTCGCAACATCTCCCATATAGCCGTCAACGCGTCTGTCGTCGTCTACTGCGTCATTGTATGTGGCAGCGACTTGCAGCTGTGACCAGCTGTAACTGACTGGCCGTGCGTGGCAACGAATGACAACAAATGGCAACACGACTGACCTGGACCGTGATCACTGCAATCAGCCACTGGACTGTCACTGACAGCGTCGTCCAACAGACGATAGTCCACTGGCGCGCGTGATGTCAACCTCCGCCCCCCCCCCCCCCCCCCC